ATTGCGTTTTCGATTCGATAAAAGAATCATATAGGGATCCTGCCCTGCCAATATTTTTCTTTTTTTTTTGTTTTTTGTTTTTTCTTTTACCTTCTCAACACGACGATTAAAAATTTAACAAAATTTTCTAATTTTTCATTTTACAAATATTCATTTACCAATACAAAATTTCTCTAGTTAAGTAGCATTTAAAAAGACTCGACAAAACAACAGTCTCTTTGTTTATTCGTAATTCTAATGTTGAGACTTTATAAGAGAGAGAAAGAGAGAGAGAGAGAGAGATAATGATAATGATAAAGAGATAGAGAGAAAGAGAGAGAATAAAAATAAAAATAAAATAAAATAAAATAATATTAATAATAATAATAATAATAATATAATCATAATTAATAAAAGTAATATAGAGATGAAAGGTTTTGAAATCGTAGCGTGATAGTAAAAGGTGGGAGAGGAAAAAAGAAATAAAAATAGGCAGGTGGGGGGTTGTTGTTGTAAGCGGACTGAGGAGGGGGTTGTAATTGAATTAAACAAGAACCTCGAGACTCTCGCGCGAACGTGCCTTCTGTTGTCCGCACTTGCCGTTCGATTGTACGATCATTGCGACCGATTGGCAGGTACTCTCGTTTCCGATTGGTCTTATAGGAGGCATCGCGAGTCTTAGTTTGTACCAAAACTTACGACGATTGCCGGAAGTGAGGAAATTTGTCGAAGAGAATGAGAACGACGACGTTGAGGAAAGTGGATTAAGAGATTTATCAATTGGGGGATTGTTATTTGGTTCCTCCCATCGAAGGATCTTCAAACGATCGAATAATACAAAGTCACTGTCCGACCTATCACCTCGTCTCGATGATGGTTTTCCCATCGTCGTGGTATTCGGTAATTCCTTCAGGATCACTGCGATTGTTCTTGTCGATAAACCAGCAAGCTGTTTCAAAATTGGCAGGACGCTTGACTCAGTCCAAATGTCACCTAACGATCCTGGACTCAGCACCACGATTATACGCCTTGCTGTATTAACGTGAGGTCCAATTTCCAAAATCCCTGTGAACAATAGAATCGTTACGTGTCTCATTATACAAAATTATTCGATTTTCCTGAAAAAAAAAATACAAATAAATATTGTGCCGATTTTTTTAAAGTAAATATTCATTTTTATATAACAAGTATTATTTGGTAATATATCGAATAAATATTAGAAGTTAAGCTATTCAAATAAGATGCGATTAAATGAATATAGAATAACATGTTCAATATTATTATCCGATAACAATTAATCCAATTTTTATGACTGCCAATGGAAAAAACATTACAGTCAATAATATTTTTTCATAGAGAAACTTTATAATATATAAGAAATACAAATTTGTAAGAATATTGTGTACTATTTTTGCTTGTATTGTTTAAAAAAAGAAACCGAAGAAAAAGATTGAAATATTAGATTTATGATTAAAAGTGTAACAAAAATCGTGTCGATTACGGCTCGACGAAACAATGTCAAGTGATACTCGACGTAAAACGATTTAACAGAGAACTGCTTACAAATTTGATCCCTCAAAAGAACAAAAAGAAAAGAAAAAAGAAATAAACGTATTGAACTAAAATTCGAAATTACAAGGCACCGAGCGCTACTCTCACTCACTCACTCACTCACTCACTCACTC